ACTATTTCTTGTGGGTAAACACTAGCAGAAAATAAAATCATTGAAGAAATGGTAAACAAATATTAATGGGGAAATTTGAGAAACCTTAATTATTAAAATGTCTTATGAATTAATTTTTAAGATGTGAAAACTTGTTAATTAACTATGTATATTAACCTCTCACAAATCTGAGGAATTTTATTTCCTAAAGGAACCTGAGAACTATTAGTGGTTGATGGAAATATTAGCTCTTGCGATACACTTGGCTGGGAAGCTTGGCCGGGCTGAAAGTAATCAGACTTGGCACAATAACCTAGTGAGCAGTGAATCAATGTTAGCTATTTTCACTAACAGCACTAGTATTGTCTGTTTGATATATACTTGAGCCCCAGCTGCTACTTAAGACCTGGTTTAATATTTTATGTTATTTTTCCTGTACAGGCTGGGAAGGGGTTTCTTCGGGCCATAAGAGCTACTCCAATGGCTGTTGCAGATTTAATTCCAGTTGATACGGTCGTCAATCTCACCCTAGCAGTAGGATGGTACACTGCAGTTCACAGGTGTGAATGCTGACGTGGGCCTTCAAAGACTTGATGAGGGTGAGGGTGAATATGTTAGGCACATTTTCAAAATAATAGGCACTTCATTATACCAGACCTCAAATGTGAGAAGGTATTTGTTTTAATATTTTATATAGTTCCTAATATGCCATCATATAGGCATTCAGTTGTTTTATAAATACTGCTTAGTAGTTGGTTGATCATGAAGTAAGAAACCCTTTAAATCAGTTAACCATAAGATTCTTGATAACCCAAAGGCTTTTCTTTCTATTCAGTAATCTAAAATACAGCTTCCTTTTTTAAGGCAAAAGACATAGAATTTGATGAAATGAGTACATATTTTATATTTTCTTGAACTGCTCAGTTCCTGGTAAATGCCAAAAGTTCGGATCACCATGTGTGGGAAAATTCCTAGCACGCACGCACATACACGCACACACACACACACACACACATACAAGGTGGTTTGCACATTCAGGTCAAATATACATTGTTGTACATTTGTTAGTAAATGGTTAACAGAATTAAGTTTTTTTATGTGAACTCAGACATATATGTGCCATAATATGTCACACCTCTTTGACATCTCTTTCACACACACACACACCCCCATACTTTTCCTACTCTTCTTCCATTTTACTTATTAACCCAAAGAAGATACAAAAGATAGAAGGAAGTGTTGCAAAGGTTGCCTTAGTCATGAGAATTATCAAAATGTTATTTTCCCTTTTCCATTTTGTTGTATTTACCTAATCTTCATTTCATTTTCCAGACCTAAGTCAACGTTAGTCTACCACTGTACATCGGGTAACCTCAATCCCTGTAACTGGCTCAAAATGGGTAAGCACCTGTAGCAATGTAACCATGTAACTACTAGTGTCTGCCACAGGGGAAAAAAATAGAAACAGTGTGTTGTGAAGCTTCCAGCATAGTGGGAAAGGAAAACAAAAAGTAAGTAAAGAGACAAAATAATTGGAAATTGTAAGCGTGTAATCGTTAACTAGAATGTACTGTGGTATACCAAATAAAGGAGTCAGAGGGAACATATGCATGATTGTAATAAGGAATCCATTGGCCATAAAGATTTTTAAAAACAATGATAAAACCAAGCAAAAGTTGGCAGTTATAAACAATCTTGGTGATAAAATACTTTTCCCCATTGGGGCAATGGCCAGCACACACACATCCCTTCTTTGCTTGATATATCACTGAGAAAGTGACATGATCAATGACCAAGGAGATTTAGAAAAGTTGAATAATATTATACCTTTGTTATTGAATCGGTAACTCAACTCATTAATGTATGCAGCTTACCTCTCTTGAGTGCACAATAACCACTCCACTAGTGATTTGTAAAAGTGAGTAAGTCACTATGGGAGAAGAAAAATCCAGATTCCTTGGACCCTGGGACCAAGGTCTTGGACGGTGCTGAGAAAGCTGTATGTTCAACAGCAGCCAGATGATTCTCGGTGCTGGTGAACCCACTCTGAGAAACCCTCAACTATGCAAAGTATTGATTTGACTAATGTAGGGGACTCAATCTATTTAATGTATAAAACCTATGAAAATTAATTTGAGTACAACTTAAACATCTAATGATGGCAGAGGGTAAAAGTAGGCGGTTTAACTATCCTGTAGGATTCCTTAGTATCCACTAACATACCTCTCCTTTCCCTGTTACATGGGTAACACTACCTCTACATATGCCAATGGTAAGCCCTAGTACCAAACTGAGAGTTCTATTGCAGGGCAGCTAGACACTGTGGCTTGTTTTATGACAGACTTTGACTTGAAGAATGCCTTTCCAAGAATGACAAACACTCGGCATGCACGTTTTCTCTACTCTCCTCACATGCATAGCAGATGTTGTCAGCTGATCACAGTATTCTTTCCCCCTGTGCCAAGACTGTACTAGAAGCCTTTCTAACACAGCATTTCTGGAAGCTCTTACCAACTAATTTGATTTTGCATTCAAATTGAAATTCACTTGTGTTTCCTATCAGGACTATTAGGAGGGATCAAAATGTTTCCCATTAGGAGCACTAGCCATGTGATAGTAGGTCTAATATCCATAGCCTCAGGTGATATGACAGAAAGGGATTGACAGCTGGGTGGGTGAACATGGGCTCTCTCTCCATTTAGTTGTTTCTGTTAGTGTCCTTTAAGAAAAATTTTAATCTTCTGCATGTAGGTCTTAAACACCTTTTATCAGATTTATACCTAGGGCCTAGATAATTTATACTTTTTTTGCTAATTTGAATATCTTTTATAAAAATATGTTTTCTAATCGTTTGTGGGTGGTATATAGAAATGCAGTTGACTTTTGTACATTGACCTTATATCTAGCTATCTTGCTAAACTATTATTGCCAGTGAATGTATAGCATTTCCTTTCAGTTTTCTATATAGATATACTTAATCTGCAAGAATTCCAGTATTATTTCTGTCTTTCTAAACCTTAGGTCTTTATTTTTCCTATTGAACTTCTAACACAATGATGAATAGAAATGGCAATAGTGTATATCATTGTCTTGTTCCTAACAGAAGGCTTCAAATATTAAACTACACTGCCATTCCTAGGATAAACCCGTCTTCAATTTGCTAGTAATTTGTTTAAGAATTCTTACACCTATTCTTCAGTAGAATAAGGTTCTACTCTTTTGTTTCCATACAGTCCTTGTCTAATTTTGGCTTTGGTGTATTAACTTCACAGAATGAGTTGAAGTATATTTCTTTTGTTTTTTCTATTTTCTATAAGTGTTTGTGTAAGATTGGAATAATCTATTCCTTGAAAATTTGGTAAAACTGCCTGTAAATTATCTGGATTCGTGGTTTGTTGTGGGAAGATTTTTACTGCTTCAACTTCTTCAATAGTTACAGGATTTTTGCAGACTTTCAGTTTTTGCTTGAATCAGTAAATTATATTTGTCTCTTTTTCTAAGAATCTAAGTTTTTAAATGTATTTACATAACATTTTTGATATTATCTTCTTCTTTTGCCATAAGCTATATCCATAGTTATGTTTCTCTTTTTAATTCAAATAATTGTGAGTGTATCTTCTCTTTTTTTCTCAATTAGTCTTCCAAAGGGGTTTATTATTTTTTCTAAAGAACCAACTTCTGGCTTTATTGATTCTTTGCTGCTTTGTTTTCTATTGCACTGATTTCTTGTCTTCTATTATACCCTTCCCCCTGTTATCTTTGAATTGATTCTTTTTTTCCTTTAACTTAGAAATATAGCTCACGAATATTCAGGTTTTTTCCTATAAGCATTTAAAATTTTTCATTTTACTTTCTTCTTTGACCTATAAATATGTAGAAGTATAGTTTATAATTGTCAAATTAAATTTTCTATGTTTGCATGAGATCCTACTTGTCCTTCAGGTCAGAAAGACAGTAGCTTAATGGTTAAGAGTTCCACGCTCTAAAGTCTAATAGACTTGGGTTCGAATCATTCATTCATTCTGTATTCATGGAGTAAGCATTACTCTTGGTGCTGAGGATTTAACACTAAACAGAAATCCACACCCATACAAAGGTTATAGGCTGGTGCAGATCCCACAACTTACTAGACCTCACTACTTACCACTTGTATGAACTTAGGAAAATCATTATTTCTCCCTATAAATCAATTTCCTTACTTGTCAAATGAGAATAATAATTATTCTACTTCAGAGAGCTCTTGGGAGGATTTAATGAGACAAAGTGCTTAGCAAAGTGAATAGAACAGCAAATATATCAGTAAATGTTTGCTATTGCCATTTAGACAGCTTTCTCAGAAGCCTTTCCTAACCTACCCTCACCCCTCCCAACCCTGGCACCCAGAGTTAGATGCTTCTTTGGTATTCCTCCAGAACATATTGTACTGACCTGTAGCAGATACTCAGGGAAAATACTGTAATCACTAATCATCCACATCTCCCACCAGATTGCCAATTCCTTAAGGACAGGGAATATATCAGATATATTTTTTAACCCTAGCACAGTGTCTGGCAAGTATTAAATGCCAAATAAATATTTTTGTAATGACTAAAGGAAGAGCTGAGATAGATTTAGGAAATGGAAAGTCACTGCATGTTGCTGAGACATTCATTCGTTCATTTAGTCAAAAATATTTGTTGGGCACTGGTCACCTACCAACCACTTTTCAAGGTACTCTATAGGTATGAAGAAAACAGACAAAACTTTGTTCTCACAACACTTACATCCTAGTAAGGAGGCATATACACAAGATATAGTTAAGTGCTTGAAGAAAAATGAAGCAGACTAAAGAGGTAAAAAGTAAAATGGGAAGGCTGCTATTTTACCTGTGGTGGCCAAGGAAAGCCTCACTGATAAGGGGACATCTTAGCAGAGACCTGAAAGGATGAGGGGGCAAAGCAGAGGGATATGTGAAGGAAATGCTCCAAGTTAAACAGGAAGTGCTAAGCTCTTCATTCATATTCAAGGACAGGAAGGAGGCCAGTATGGCTATGACAGAGGCACTGAGAGGGAGAATGGTAGGAGATAAAAGGCAAAATGATGAGCATAGGGAGTGAGGATGTAGATAAGGCCTTACAGACCATCGTAAGAGTTGGCTTTCCCTCTAAACGAGATAAGATTCCACTGAAGGGTTCTGAATGGAGAAGTAACTATAAGACACTCAGAGTTACATTTTAAAAGAATCACTCTGGCTGCTACCTGGAGAGCAGACTGCAGTGGGTAGAAGTAGTGGCAGAGACCACTTAGGACACTACTGTAATATCCCAAGCTAGAGTGGTGGTTTGGATTAGAGAGAGAGCAATAGAAATTGTAATAATGGATAATTTTCAAACAGCTGATAAAGTTTGGGTCATTAAAGAGAAGAATAAAAGATGACCCCAAAGTTTTTGGCTGAACTACCAAAAATACTGAATCACCATTTAGTTAGAAGTGGTGGAGGATTGTGGGAGAAGCAAGTTTTGTGTATATAATGAGAAGGGCATGGTTGATAGAGTATTAAGAGGTCAATGTTACAGCTGTTAAATGTGAATGTTTATTACACATCCAAAGGGAAAATGTTGAACAGGCATGACTATATAGACCAGAAGGTCAATGTCAATATTGGACCTCTTATGCTATACACTGTGCACAACTCTTTGATTGATTTCCTTTTTCAAGCATATATACCCATGGACCAGATGTTTCTTGAGAATCTTGTCTGTATAGGGTCTATATTATTTATATAGATTTCTAGGTGGTATCTTTTTAGGGAGAGCAGCAATAATGTTACCATAATAACTGATATCTTTATCATAATTGAATAATGAGCTGAGGCATATTCTTTGGAAAAAATCTACATAAATTGAATCAAAATCGAATTCAAATGAGTACTTTTTGAAAAGAACTGTTGAATTCACAAATGTACACAATAAGTTTTTTTTACTAAGCTTTATCTAAATAATTTATTAAAAGATTATGAAAAAACCCTGGAGACCAGATTGGACAATTGAGTCTGACATACTCTCAGAGAAGTAAAAATACCAAAGAAGTAAAAGATGTGGTATTTAAAGTGAATCAACACAAGGGAATCTGCCTTTTATAATCTTTTACTTTAACCTTTAATAAAGACTTAAGTAAAATGTTAAGAAACTTTCTTAATGGTTCTGCAAGTAATGATTCAACCAAGGAAATAAGACTCCTCACTTCTGTCTTTGGGCTTTCAGAATAGACTAGATAACCTTGGAATTAAATTATGGATTTACATTTTTCTGAATAGTACTTACTTGTATTGAGTAATCTATTTCCCCAACAATTTGTTTTACAGTAAATGTTTCAAGAAAAGGACCCAAATCTTAACCCATTCACATGGTTTGATTTTGCAAATGACTACTTGCCCAGCGTAACAATCTTTACATGGTTCTCAGAATTGATTCTTGACTCTATATAGCAAATCCTTAGTCTTTATTATTTTTACCCATTGCAAATGCCTTCCACTATGATGGGCTTACGTTCTCATAGGCTTACTCTTTTTTTTTTTCCCCAGGACTCCAAGTCTTGGCAACCTTTGAAAAAATCCCATTAGAGAGGGCTTTTAGGAGGCCATACGCTAACTTCACAACCAACAACTTCATGACCCAGTACTGGAATGCAGTCAGCCACCGTGCCCCTGCCATCATCTACGACTTCTATCTGCGGCTCACTGGAAGGAAGCCCAGGTGAGAAGCTGAGTCATTGGCTTTGAGAGTCTCAATGCATGGGAGATCAGAACCCCAAAGTCTATAGCACTCCTTTCAGCTGAAGATCAAAGGAGACAACTGAATCTGACACATATATACAGGTTGAACATCCCCAATCCAAAAATCTGAAAAGCAAAATGTTCCAAAATTCCAAACTTTTTGAGTACCAACATGATGCCACAAGTAGAAAATTCCACACCAGACCTCATGTGACAGGTCACAGTCAAAATGCCATCAAAACTTTGTTGCATGCACAAAATCGTTTAAAATATTATATAAAATTACCTTCAGGCTATGTGTATAAGGTATATATGAAACATAAATGAATTTCATCTTTAGACTTGGATCCCATCCCCAAGATTTCTCATTATATATATACAAATATTACCAAATCCAAAAAAGTTCAAAATCTAAAACACTTCTGGTCCCAAGCATTTTGGATGGGGGATACTCAACCCATATGAATTCGGGGACAAAGCAGTTGTAGTGAGAAGCTGAGAGACTCCTAAGTTGAAAATCCTCCTGCATAATAAAGGAAGATAAATGTTAAGGAACTTGCTTGATGAATTCAGCAAGTAATCATCCACACAAAAAGAAATGCAACTGAGACTCTGTCACTAGGGTTTTCCAAATAGTTAGATATTCTTAAAATATACACTAATGATAACAGCCTTACTGAGCATATACTACGTGGCATTCTTGGGCTAAGGACAATGCACGATGACCCCATTTTCATTCTCACAACCACCCAAGGAAGATATCCTTATCATCTCAATTTTACAAATGAGGAAATAAAAACTAAGGGAAGAATGTGAAGTAGTCACAAAGGAAGTGACAGGAAGGATGTGGAGAAAGAAAAGTATCAAAGCCAGTATTCTGAATTGAATTTACTGCCACCTAGAGATGAGTGAAGAAATGAGAGGGAATGAAGTGTGCTGATGCTAAGGCAGTTCTGTCACCATCTAGCTGTGTGACATAGGACACATGCCTCACTTGAATAATAATACACATGTCATAGGAGTCATCACTATTAAAATTTCCAAAGGCAATTCCTGTGATCAAGAATCAGAAACATGAAAGGTATTGCCTTCTGTACTAGCCCCTTTATAGGGGAGGAAGTCTCTCTCAGCATGTTTAATCATCCTTATTAGCAGTGCAAATGACTATAATTTAGACAATTTAGAGTTTATCCTTCTCCAGGTGTGTTTGTGTGTAATCTTCTATGCCTTTATATCCATATTTGGATATAAATATAATTTTGCTTTGAGGTAGGGGTGTGTGCGTATACATAAAACAATCATACAATTTTCCAACTTTTTTCACTAATTTTCCATGAAAATTTTAAGTCATTCTGCCTAGTGTTGTCTTTTATTTTCTACTTCAAACGATGAGGCAACGAATATCAGTGTGCATGCCTCTTTGTAAAACGTGCCCCTATGTCTGGGGAAGATGCTGAGAAGTGAGACTGCTGGATTAAAGGGTATGTAGATTTTGTGACTACTGCCAGGTTGCCCTAAAGGAAGATTGTGAATTTGTATTACCACAACAGTGTATGAGGGCACAAAGACAGTATGTATTTCTCACTCTCAT